ACATTTTTATTACAAAAAATTGGTTTTGTCACTAATATAGATAAGGACTTCAACGCGGTTCCACAAAAAAACGTTGCATTAATCGACGTTGAAAGTCTAATTTTTCGGATCGATAATTTTTATTTATTTACAACCCCTCTATTTATCTAGAGGTTCCCCTCTCTTTTATATTATATTTTTATTATTTATTATATTGGATGTGAGGGCGTGCTTGAGGGTGAAAGTGAGATTGACTCTCGCTTGAGCGAAAATACGTTAAAGCTCACGGAAATTCACTCGCTCAAGCGAAAATATCTCGCTTGAGTGAAAATTGGTATTTTTCGCTTGAGCGAATGTGTCGCTTGAGTGAATGACGCGTTTCCTAAATTTATTTTATATCATTATATAAATAAATTATAAAGATTATATTACTGTCATTAAATTTTGAAAATTCACTCGACACACACTTTCACCTTCGAGCGTGCTCTCACATCCAACATATAAATATATAACTATATAAATATATCAAAATATATAAATATATTTGTATTTATATATTTTATATTTATATATTTACACGAATATATATTTATTTGTATATAAATATAATTTATTTGTAAGTTATTATCGAGAAAATTCTACTAGTTTAGTGGTTGGAGTATCGGCTTTCAAATCTAAGGTATTGGGTTTGAATCATGCCAACTCCTCTGGAAATGACAGCCAAGATAGGGAGTCTGGAACCAGCAAGCACTTAGGAGAGGAAATTTGATTTCAAAGCCCTATCTTGTCCCTGGAGTCCTCCTACTACACCCATTTCACTAGAACCTTTTATTGAATGAAAATCCAAGTTCGTAGTATGCATTCTGACAGATTGATTAGTCAAAGGTTCAAAGGTAGACTTAGCTTATTCCGTACGTGTTTCCTCCTATATGTATGAAGTAAAAAGTCAATTACTAAAAGTTTAAAATCTTTAACCTTTCCAACTCGGTGACAAGGCGGACATTGATCCGGAAAGTGAGCTGGCTCCCCAAACTACCGTGGTCACTAGGAGGGTGCTTCCCTCTATATATATGAAGTAAAAAGTCAATTACTAAAAGTTTAAAATCTTTAACCTTTCCAACTCGGTGACAACAAGGCGGACATTGATCTGGAAAGTGAGCTGGCTCCCCAAACTACCGTGGTCACTAGGAGGATCCGCCAGTATCCTCCCTTGCGGTGTAAAAACCCATGTCAAACACACAGACAAAGACGGTGGCTCCATACAGCTAGATTTAGTATATGGAATTAATAGGTTGTTACTGGTTTCGATTATAAGATTAGATTGGTTTAAAAAGGTAAGGTAAGGCAGGCTAGGCTCTATCGCAGGGATTAGCGCTCCGTTGGGATTATCGCTCGTGTCCCTAACCCGAGGTTCACTCACTTGCTACATTTCTCTCTTCTCTTCTCTTATCTTATAGCTCTTGCCTTAGGGTTAGGGTAGGGCTTAGGGCTAGCTTCAAGCTCCATAAGCTACCTTAAACAATAAACTATTAATTCCATATACTAGCCAGTGGTGGACCAGAGCTGAAGTCTGGCCCTCAGGAGGGGAGATTTAATCTATTTCGTATAGAATTAAATGCCCTTTTTCAAGTATTCTAATAGGGGTATAGTTCATTTAGAATAGGGTCCTATTCTAAATCCATGTAATAAAGATTACAACTAATAAGATAGGGGTTTATAGTGCGTTTCTTCCTTTATTTGAAAAAAGACTGATTTTCTCTGCACATAAAAGAGGTATTTTAAACCCTCAAAAAGGGTATCCATTGCATTCAGATATAGCGCGGTAAAGGCCTTATTCTATTCCTTCCTTAGGTCAGGAATAATGGCCTTGTTCCCTCATCTAATAGAACACGGAGTCCCCTCATCTAATAGAACACGGAGTCCCCTCATCTAATAGAACATGGATCTAATCGAAAAATGACAAAATAGGGTTTCGACCTTGAATGTTATAAGTGATGTTCGAGATCACTGAGCATTAATCTGTAGAGTATTGTAACTTCCCGGAACCTATGGGGTCTTGCATAACTTCCACACTCATTAGAATGCTCTTTTCTTCTGAAAATCCTCACAAAGGTATTCAAACTTTTTTAGGGGAGATTTAAGTACAATGGAACCTACTTATAATCCAAACCACTAAGGTGTCAGCCTTATCCGACACGCGTAAGGCATTAGTAGATAACAAGGTGACCACCCTAAATAGGGGATGAAACATTGATGTTTCACCTAAGGACTTTAGATAAGTTCCGAGTAGGTGAATTCAAAAAGAGTTGTGACGTGGTTACAATCAAAATTGACGTTGGATGTGTCAATAAAAAGACTTTCCACACCGGTTCATCTGAAACCGATGTAGAAAATACTTTCTACATCGGTTGATTAAAAACGAACGTAAAATGTGTTTAACTTTCAACTTATTTTGTAATAGTGTTTAAAAGAAACTCTTAAGATTTATAAATAAAATAAAAATATCTTTTAAATTTTATATCCCAACTAAAACAGGTATTTTAAACCCTCAAAAAGGGTATCCATTGCATTCAGATATAGCGCGGTAAAGGCCTTATTCTATTCCTTCCTTAGGTCAGGAATAACGGTCTTGTTCCCTCATCTAATAGAACACGGAGTCCCCTCATCTAATAGAACATGGATCTAATCGAAAAATGACAAAATAGGGTTTCGACCTTGAATGTTATAAGTGATGTTCGAGATCACTGAGCATTAATCTGTAGAGTACTGTAACTTCCCGGAACCTATGGGGTCTTGCATAACTTCCACACTCATTAGAATGCTCTTTTCTTCTGAAAATCCTCACAAAGGTATTCAAACTTTTTTAGGGGAGATTTAAGTACAATGGAACCTACTTATAATCCAAACCACTAAGGTGTCAGCCTTATCCGACACGCGTAAGGCATTAGTAGATAACAAGGTGACCACCCTAAATAGGGGATGAAACATTGATGTTTCACCTAAGGACTTTAGATAAGTTCCGAGTAGGTGAATTCAAAAAGAGTTGTGACGTGGTTACAATCAAAATTGATGTTGGATGTGTCAATAAAAAGACTTTCCACACGGTTCATTCGAAACCGATGTAGAAAATACTTTCTACATCGGTTGATTAAAAACGAACGTAAAATGTGTTTAACTTTCAACTTATTTTGTAATAGTGTTTAAAAGAAACTCTTAAGATTTATAAATAAAATAAAAATATCTTTTAAATTTTATATCCCAACTAAAACACAATTAATAAGATTTAAATGTGAGATATATTATATAATAATAAAATTTGAATAAAATATTATATTTTAGGTCATATGAACCTATCCAGTAACACATGATCCAAGATGTCAAAAAAAAATTTTGCACTTAAATTTTCATATCCACAATTCATACTCTAATAAAAATATAGAGAATGGTCAATATCTTAATATTATTTCTTATTTGTAAACAATTCACATTCTACTTAAATAAGTAAAGTCGCAATTGTTCAAAAAAATCTTTAACACATTTAAAAGTTTTCTTTTTTTTTAATTATCACATTTATTTATCTATATAAATATATGTTTTATCACAAAATCATTCCTCATAGATATGAACTCATACCATTGAAATTGTCTTCTTTAGGGGTGAATGTCATTGAGATTTTTAACAGACTTTTCTATAAAAGTCTCATAGTATTTTAATTAAGATTTTTTAAAAATTTTAAAAATATATGATATCCAATCCAATGAAGTCTGAGAATTGTTCAGAGAGATTGAAAAAAGTAATTTGTTATTCTGAATCATATAAATTTTATAGATTATTTTTTCTAAGATGTTCACAATGTATTCATACTGTCAAATCACTAGTATACATCACTTGACCAGTCAATCTAATTAACCATACCATTCTCCTCTAGGGTCGGGGTTGCCACTAGAAAAGCAAGCTGAGAGAAATAAAAGTGATAATGGACATTCTGAAAACCTACAATCAAGCCAAAGTTACAATCACAATCCTAGCTTTAGTAAAACCAATTTAAAAGAAATATGAAACCCTTGACTGACCCATTATTTCCTTGGAAGAATATGCAAAGCTAGATGCGAAAGGATACAGGGAAAAGGAAATGAGGAATCAACATTGATAGAAAATTATATGTACAAACATGAAACCACATCAGCTAGCTACATCCATGATACACTCTAACTTGCATACACCACTTCCATAACCAACCATTCACACTCCAATTATTCATACAATCACACCTGACAGCTACACAATAGCATCATCAAAAAAGAGACCTAGACCACCAATATGAATTACAAAGCAGAAACTATAATTGCTTGTCATCATTCCTCCCTCCATCAACATGTAAAACAAAGTAACCTTTACCACAAAATGCTATATATCCACACAGAGGACCCCAGCAATTCATGATGAAACACTAGCCTCACTCTGCCAAACATCAGGAAACTTTCTTGTTACTTTAGAGTATATGCCAGCATGATATGCGAGCAACCTTGAAAGAGAGGACAAAAGCACATACCCAAGAATGAAAAGGGAGGTGGAGAGTGGGACCCCATTTGCCTAATGCGCATGCATTCAATCACCAAGAGAGTGCAACACTTGAGAGAAAAAAAAAAGTGTCCTCATTTACAGCAAAACCCCCCACTACCATCTCCATCACTTCAACCTGTGACCTTTAATCCTCCAAAAAAAGCTACAGGATAATCATGTTGGTCAACAAATCGAAACCCCATATCCTGCATTCTTCTCCATCTGATGTGCCAAAGTGCAATACTGCCTATTTCAACATTAGTCCCTTTATTTACCAACCATATATGTACACCTCGAGAAAGAGGATTAAATAAGACAAGATGCAAAACATGCTAAGATAAACATATCAACCAACAAAGCTAAGAATTCAAAAGAACTACATCCTTTCACCATGAATGTGTCCTTCAACCAACTTACTATAACCTCAGTGGCTGTGACTGATTGACTGAGTGTACTACTTAGTGATATTCCACCCCAAGAGAACCAGTTTGGGACATCAAAATTTTCAAGTACTCAATAGTTCCATCAATGACTGAGATTGGCTCCTTTCCTTTTGCACCAGGAATTAAATTCTCGAGAACTGTCAAAGATTCGCGGATCTTATCCTTTCTTAATTTGATATCACACACCACTGAATCATCTACTTTAGTTTTATGAACAGAATATGTCCAGCCACTAGAGTACTTTGATTCAGCATCACTAACACTGTCCCAGGGTTCATTTGGTTTTACCAAATTACATATGTCCGCATGTGGGGATGATCTATTGTCGTCATCATGAATTAACTTCAGCCGTTTGTTATGCGAATAAGAACTAGCAACCTCCTCCTTCAAGTCTTCAAATTGTTCTGGTATCGCATAAGTCCTTTTACTTGCCAAAGGAGAACGATCTGTACTTGTTACCTCATCACAATTATCATCATCATATTCACTGCTGTCATCATCGGAATAAAGCAATGCATTTATTTCTTCTGTATCTTCATGCTTTTCACTTTCTTCAAGAACTGCATGATCCTTAACAGACTCTTCCAGTAAACTGTAACTGGCAAGATGCTTTTGACCCTCATTACTAGCCTGTTCCTCCCCATTTAAGTTATAACTTTGAGCAAACTTCGTAGCAGTAACAGTTGGAGTCTGGACAAGAGGGATAGGACCATAAAACAACCTTGTTTTATTATCAGAGCGGTCAAAGATCAGTAACCTCTTCTTCAAAGAGGGATTTGCACTTTGTAAAGCTCCTCCAAGATGCGTTTCTTTCAAACTTGTGTCTGTGTTGTAATACTGAAGGTATCCCTGCACTTCATTTGTTAGCTCAGTCTTCAGACTTCGGATAGAAGGAGCTGCAAGCCCATGGGGTAAGATGGAAGTGCTTGAGCTCAGAAATGTTGGGAGACCAAGTGAACTGGGCTTAGGCAGCATGCTGAAGTTATTCAAAGGTGATTGCCAAGCCACATGGTGTGAGCAAGGCAAGGACCTGTCAGCTTTAACCATCTAACAAAACAAATGACCTACACAACGACAGAACCAATCAGCCAATGTTAAATATGAGACTCTTTCGGTCGAAACGATGACAAAACCACGTTTGGAAAGTACCAGTAGATGTTATGGTGCTCTTGTGAAAGATATTCGTTTACTTGCTGATTTTCTGAGGAACAAAAGGGACAAAAGGGAAACTACAAACTCCAGCTTAAAGAGAAAGAACTATGACTCAATCTACGTGACAGGCTTAAGCAAATGACGGAAGTACTCAGCCTGCAAAAGACTCAGAGGATAGCATATGTTACTCATTCATTGAGCTCATAATCATAAATCTATCTAATAACTTATAACAGAGGCCTTTTAATATTCAATAGTCATAATGTTAATGTCCTATACTGACATAAAGAAATTTTCATCAAACAGGCTTAATAACCAAGGATATAATAGTTAAAAAAATATGTACTAACCTGACAAAAATGCAAAGGTTGAAAGCATGCTATCACTCTAACAATAATTGTTGCTTCACCTTCAATGCCATACTCATGTTTTAATGCTCGGAATCTTGTTTGGCTCGCTGCTTGGCACACCATAACTCCTTTTTTTCTTACCACACTACTCAATCAATCTAATGTTGTTGTACAGAGAGAAGAAACACCCAATAGAATATAACAATGAAGATAGCCCAATCCAAACACAATCAAAAGCAGCTAGAGCTCACAGAATAATAATAGATGAGAACATATTGAAAATACAAAATAACAGAATCTTCCTTCACTTCCTCTCTTTTAGCCTATTCTATACTTATCAGAAGAAACGATCAAACAATTGGCTTCCATGGCAGTAGCTAAGCATAGAGACCAGAAGCAACAACTATAGGATTTTTGGGAACGATGATCTACAGAATAACTTTACAATATAAGTTCAACTGTATAACTTGGCGGAACACATCAACAGAAAGACCCAGCCAACGCATGCTGATTTTTCCTGTGTGGCTTTAGATATCAAGAATTACTTAGAGCTTGAGGCTGATATTATGCACTCAAAGAAACCAATATCCCTGAAATAAAATTATATCATGGAATAAATATCATACTTCATTTTATCACACATCATAAAAAGTTTTTTTAATAAACTAAATCGCCTAATATTACAGTCGAGTCTTTAATGAGAAAACATCAGTGAATAACCACCATGACTAAGGCCAAAGACATTGTAAAATCCAACTTAACCGTTCATTCATTCAAAATAAACCTGCAGGAACCTCACCCTTCTATTATTTTTCTTGTCAAAATGGAAACAGCCATAGTAAGAGAATAGAAACAGAAATTGAATATAGTCACCACATGCTGACTTGTTCGCAAGTAACACAACAGGACATGAAGCACACTTAACCTAGTAGCAAAATCTTTCGACCAAATAAGTTTCTCCAACATAAAGGAGAATTAAAAACAAAAAAAACAAAAATTACTACAATCCTCAAATTTCCCAACAGAGAAAGCCTGTTCGTTAAACAGAATATGATTCAACAAAGAAAAGGCACACAAATATACTCTTATAAGATTTGACTCCAAACCAAATTTCATCAAGGAGATCCTAGACTCCTAGTTCTAATTCATCCAAAGCCTTCAGCTTTTTCCTCCCCACCCCCTTAACCACTAACCATAGCAAAGAATATAGAAAACCCACAAAAGAATCAATGTTTGAAAACTTACAGAGGGATTGGCAGGAAAGGGTGTCTTCAATAGAGAAGAGTGAGAGACAGAAAAAAGAAGAGAAAAAGGGATGATTGCGAGTGAACAGGGAAGAGAGTAAGGAAGGAAACACTCACTACGACAAGAAAAACTCCCAAGAGATGCTGCTCAATGTGGATGCCACTGCTATATAGACAACTAAATGTGACGTTTGACTTAATTTCTTGGCAGTTGCCGATCAGGGTCGTTAAACAAACAGTGATTTTTTTATAATTAAATATATTTTATCTTTATTTTAATAAAAATATCTATTGGTTTTTAATCAATATTTAAAAGGCATTGATTAATAACACTATTTTTTATTATATGCTCTTAGGTTATTTTATTTTTTAGAAAATATCCATAAAGATACCTTTAAAAATATGTATTTGTATTACATGGCAATACCGAAAATAAGATATGTTTTCTATTCAGCTTTTAAACATAAAATAATAGAAGATTATCTTTTAACTACATTAATTTATTTCTTTTACTTTGTTTTATTATCTTATTTTCTTTTTAATATTTATATATTGATAAATGTTTGATTAGAAAACTGTAAATGTATTGACAAAGTGGGACTAGAAAAGAATTAAATATTTTAGACTAAAACTGGGATTAGAAAGTCAAATAAAACGTTTGATTATTTAAGAACTGGAAGTTGGATACAAATGAGTTGAAAAGAATAGTTAGGTTAAAAAGAGTAGTGATAATGTGAAGCATGAGGATGGTGAGAAGAGACATAAACAGTGAAGATGAGTCATTAAGCAAACTAATTTGTAATTAATAAGCCATTGAAGTGGAACAAAGGCAAAGGGTCCAATAGCCCCCACCAAAGAGAGCACATATATTGGATGGATAATTGAGGAGCATGACCACAAAAATAATAATAATAATAATAAAAAAGAGAATTACACAAATACAAGAACCATCAAGTGCACTCACAATTTTTCCCACTAACATCAATCATCCCATCTAATATATTTTCCCCGTGCGATTCATGAAACCAAGAGACCCCCAAAACTTTAAAGAGCTTCTTGTTACTGGTGAAGTAAAAATTTGAAGTTTTAAATTTGTGATTAGAAAAGGGGGTTGAAGATTCATGTAAATAATGAGGTGTAGTGTTTGGGTTACATGTAGCCCGAAAGTGTGGTTGGACGCTGGAATTAAGGGATTATTTTTATCCTTTTATCTAAAGAACATCCACGGAATTGATTGCTTTCTACTTTTTCTTCTTTTTAAACCCACAAAAGCATTGCCTTTTCTTTCCTCTGCAAATCGTGTTCCGTGAGCTTTATCACCACCATCATGGTTGTTCTGGGTTGATTCACTTCGTGTTGTGAGCAAACTTAGATTATTATATCAATGATAAGTTTATATATATATAACTAAATTAAACCAATAAAATAATTTTGAGATACTTTTTTTTCATTTATTTCTTGTATGTTAAATATATACAATATTATATCATATTATTCTCAAATTTAAGTGTATAGATCCTCTAATTTATCAAAAGAAATAAATCCACAAATTCTCTATAAATTCTTCCAGTTTATTATAATAAATTATAATATCAAATAATTAAAATTAATCATAATTAATTTATAGAGATTACAATTTGCATAATGTTTTTATCATGATTTTATTTACAATATAGAATTAATCATAATTAATTAAAAGAGATCACAACTTACATGATCTATTAGTCATAATTTTTGTGGATAATATCCTTAATATTCGTCAAGTTGGTGCAGGAAGATTTCAAAAGCCCAACTTATTAAATTATATGGAAAATTGTGCATATCCTAATATCCTAATATATTTATAATTTGTACATAAATGAGAATATAAAATGATTGTAAATATTTATGAAGTATTCATTACAAACAAAACAATAATCCACTTCAATACGTTGGTGCATTTATTAAATACAAGATTTAAGGACTAAAATGTTTTTCACTACTTGTATCATATTATCCATAAAGTTTTATATAATTAAATTTGTCTAAGATAATGTTCAAAATTTTCTTTCAAATTGAACAACTAAAATAATAGTTTTCTAATATGTTATATGTGGTTGTTACATAAATTTAGAAAGAACATCTACAATATTTCAATTTTGGTAGTGTAAAACACAAATAAATCAATTTATTAACCAAATGTCTATATTGATTAGGATTACAAAGAAATTCACCTTTAGAAAGACAATAACAAGATGATGATTTTCTTTTATTGGTATAGATATAGTCTTTACTCCAATTAGCACTACTACAAATAAGGCTTTCCACGTCGGTTCGGAAGGCCTTCAACGGCGGTTCAGAACCAACGTTGTATCGAGACGACGTTGAAAGTCCGACTTTCGAGTCGAAAATTTTTATTTATTTCCAACCCCTCTCCCCTCTCTATTTATCTAGAAATCCCCCTCTCTTCTATATTATATTTTTATTAGGTCCCTCTCTCTTTTATATTATATTTTTATTATTTATCATCTTTTTTTAAAGTTTAGAGCATTACCAAATTAATTTTTTGTCACTGACGAGATTGAACCCAGTACCTTAGTGTTGGAGGCTGATACTCCAACCACTAAACTACTCGAATTTTTTGATAATAACTTACAAATAATTTATATTTATATACAAATAAATATATATCCAGTGTAAATATATAAATATATAAATACAAATATATTTATATATTTTGATATATTTATATAATTATATATTTATATGTTGGATGTGAGGGCACGCTCGAAGGTGAAAGTGTGTCGAGTGAGTTTTCAAAATTTGATGTCAAATTTGTGAGCGAGTATCTTTATATGGGTTTGTAATTTAATGACAGAATATAATATTTATAATTTATTAATGATATAAAATAAATATGAGAAACGCATCATTCGCTCAAGTGAAAAATACCAATTTTCGCTCAAGCGAGGCTTGAACGAGTGAATTTCCGTGAGTTTTAACGTATTTTCACTCAAGCGGAGTCAATCTCACTTTCACCCTCGAATGCGCCTTCACATCCAACATATAAATATATAACTATATAACTATATAAATATATCAAAATATATAAATATATTTGTATTTATATATTCTATATTTATATATTTGCACGAATATATATTTATATGTATATAAATATAATTTATTTGTAAATTATTATAAAAAAATTATAGTAGTTTAGTGGTTGAAGTATCAATTTTCAACTCTAAAATACTTGGGTTCAAAAAATCCTGTTAGTGACAATTCTCTAACTTAAGTAAATTTTTGGCTGAAAAAAATAAAAACACTTTCCGAGAAAATATATATATTTACACGGATATATATTTATTTATATATAAATATAATTAATTTGTAAGTTATTATCGAGAAAATTACAGTAGTTAAGTGGTTGGAGTATCAACTTTTAACTCTAAAATATTGGGTTCGAATCCTGTCAGTGACAATTCTCGAACTTAAGTAAATTTTTGGCTGAAAAAAAATAAAAACACTTTCCGAGAAAATATATATAAATAAATATATATTTACACGGATATATATTTATTTGTATATAAATATAATTAATTTGTAAGTTATTATCAGAAAATTACAGTAGTTTAGTGGTTGGAGTATCAACTTTCAACTCTAAAATACTGGGTTCGAATCCTGTCAGTGACAATTCTTGAAATTAAGAGAATTTTTGGGTGAAAACACATTCAACATCGGTTCATCTGGGAACCGACGTTGAATGTCTAAATTAAAAGACTTTCAACGTCGGTTCATCTAGAACCGACGTGGAAAGTGCTTTCTACGTCGGTTGACTAAGAACCGATGTAGAATGTGTCCAACATTCCACTTTCAACGTCGTTTTTTAACCAACCG